GCTCAGGATAAACCCAGCTACTCGTAAGCACACAAACCACCTTGTGCAAACTGCAAACCCATTCAAAAAATCTGTCTACTCAGGGGACGCGAGCACGGCACACTGAGAAGAGCCAAGCCTCGTGCTTAAGAGCAAATTCACCCCCTCATGGCGGTCTCCCCATCGTCTCCCGCAGCGCACGCGCCTGGAGGCAGCTGAGCGGAGACCCGCGGCCTCCCTCTCCTCCAGCCGTCTCCCGATCGGCATCATCCTTCCCTCCGGTCCCCGTGGGCCTGTGAAGAGAAGAATTAACTTCCTCAGCTCCGAGGGAATGGGAAGTGTCAACAGTATTTGAATCAATCATTTATTAAACAAAGTCACACACGTTTAGTTCGTGATTGTCAGGTAAAGCCCCCCTCTCAAACACGGCATATGACAGGGAGCACCGAGGATGGTTGAAAATTCGGTACAGCCCACAGATTTCCTTGCTGAAGGAGAACTGCTCCCTGGTATTCCCAAGTACTCCCCCCGTTCCATTTACACCACCCAAATTTTAACCATATTTCCGTCATCTCCTGCTTTCCCTGATACCTTGTATTCAAACCACCATTTACAAGACACTATTAGTAAAGAAAGAAAAATTACCTTTGTCATCGAAGAAAAATTACCTTTGTCATTCCCTCCATCACAATTCATTACAGCCTTCCTGCCGTCTCAAATTCGGGCGCCGTTCCCCTCTTGCTAAAGGCCAGGGCACGGCTCTGCCCCTGGCAACACCTCAGCTCTTGATGCTTTCGGCTCCCACCTCCCCAGCCCACTCGCCACAATAAACCGATTTCAGCTTCCATCTTCCCCTCTTTCACCAGCAGTCAGCTTGGTCCTCCGAAGCTGCCCCCTCCTTTTCCCCTTCCTCTCTCCGTACACAAATCCACCCTTAAAACACACCTCGCTTCCTAACTTACCAAAATACATTATTCAGGACAGAGACCAGGAAAATTTAGGTGATAACGATATGGAGCAATTAAATACGCAACCATGTGCGGGACCCAACGCTAGAGTGTGCTGTGTAGGAAATAACCTCATACTGCAGATGATGGGCTTGATAGCGCAGCAGGATCTCTATCTCCAGACACCGTCAGAAACCCTGAAGAACTGGATGAGTCATTTTTTGGCTCCTGGAAAAGCATGAAGCTTCCTCAGAAATCCCTGGTGAAGGCGGAGAGCTAAGCAGCAAACACCGCGTTTTGAAGAAAGCGGAAAACACATCCAGGACAAGGAAATTCAAAAAGCAGAAGAAAAGCAACAAGGAGAGAATGACATCAGCTATTCCTCTGAGTGCCAGAAAAGAAGAGATTCACAAAGACAGGATAGAAACCAAACCTGCTTTATTCTCATCCTGAATTTATTTGAAGCATCATAGTAATTAGGTTGTGCGTTTCACTTGCAAGCCTGGCTGGGGCTGGAAAGACTGCAGAGAAATGCTCAGGACAAAGCAACAACAACCCCCCCGCCAGCTCTCGGTGACTTCCCAAGAAGCCACCAAGAGAAGCAAGCGAGGCGCAGACCTTCGGTGACTCTGTCCAAAACCCCAGGCAAGCCAGCGCCCGAGCCAGAATCACGGCTCAAGGTATTTCTGCCTTTTGACTCAGCATCTGATGGACAGGCTTAATTTAGATAAGAACAATAAGAAGCATTTTAAACAAAATCTTCGTGCTTTTTTAAAAAAAAAAGTTATTTTTTTTATTCTGACGAGAAGAATAAAATTTAGAAACATCTCAACATACAGAACTCCAAAAAAAAAAAAAAGAAAATAATAAATCACCTAGTTAATTTACTAAAGGGGAAAAATACAGTACATACAAGACGCAAACATCCCGTAAGTTTATACAAAAGCCAGACAGTAATAAATTGCATTAAAAATATATCAAGCATTACCTGATTGGCATCTGCCCCATTATTAAAAGGCACAAAAGACTGAGCAATGAAAGTGTTCAGCATCACATCCATTATTGTCAGTAAATTGATTGAGATTAGCATAAAAAATTTATTAAACATATTTAATATTCTCCATGTAGATCGGTAAGAAATCTTTTTTGGAAGCAGTGAGAAAATAAAGTTGGAAAGGACAAACATTTAAATATGACATCCCGAGAGGCAAAGGCTCTTCCTAGAAATCTACCTCCAAATCTTCCCAGAATAGTTTTCCCAGCTGCGTATCACTGAGTAATCATTCAAAAAAGATTTAGTTATCCACAAGCCCACCTTCCAGCAGCATCGCGATACCGCAGCAGCATCGCTGGCAGCACAGAGCCCTTCTGATTGCAGACACACCGAGAGAGACGAGGCTAGGGCGGTATCGATCCGCTGGCTGATTCATTCCACCCGCGGTCTGTAACAGTCGCAGAAACCAGCACAGACCAGAACAGGTGGATTTGCTTTTTCTTTTCCCCCCGCCTTTTTTTGTTTGTTTGTTTGTTTTGGAAACCTTAAATATAGTTACAGTTGAGGTTTCCAAAGTCACCCCGGGTAACACATGCAGCAGCCGGCTCCAGCAAACTCGGGGGCAGATCTCTGCCGTGCTTCTTCAAACAGTCTTTCGCTCAGCTTGTGCTCGGTGATGATATCTTCCACCCGAGTTATGTAAAGCAAGGATAACAACACTCCCAGGAACTGCGAAAGGAAGGGGCATCTCTCGTCAGAGATCAAATACTGCTTATCTAACGCTTCTCGCAGCAGTTTTTACAAATTACGTATACATACGTTAATGCGGTATATATACACAGAGAATCTCACATTGTTATTCTTCTTTGCATGTAGGGGTGTAAGCGGATCGTTTTTGTGAAGAGCTAATACAGCTAATTACCACCCCTGTGCCTTGGAGCGTTAGAAAGTCTTAGTGGATGCAACTAGGGGGAGGAGAGGACTCAAAAAACAACCAAGCAAATCAAATTAACCAACCAAACCCTGCAATATATCACAATAATGCTACTAAATTACCGGAATGCCACCTCAGCTTATCAGTTACATTAAATTTAAGTTAAAAATTATAATTAAATATAGTCAAATGGGATATCGCATACCATAGCAACGAATCGGATACTCCCTTTAATGGATAACGCGCGGGCCCCTTCTTACCTGGGGCAGCAATATGCCGAGCAGCACGCCAGCCATGATGCTGTAGTTGTCCAAAAACCAAATAAGCACTGCATTCGTGCACCCGCGGACATGTATAACATGCTGAACACTCAAGCGCTGCAAAATAACGGAGCAGACGTTCATACAGGCAGTTGCATTGGCGCACGATACTGGTAACACATGATAATTCAAATTTCAGGGAGGCAGATCTGGTCCTCCTTCCCATCTCTTTAAGCCCACTAAATTTGACACAGATCTCATCACTAATTCTTCCGCCTGTTTTTCGGTTGTTCCACACCTGAACAAGTTATTTTACTTTTTTTTTTTTTTTAATCTTCGCTTGCAACTACTTTTCTAAATGAAATGCATCCGATTCTCATTTTAGACCGCTTGGAAAATAGAGAAATCTCTCTCTAGCTTTTATCTCTGCTTCCAAGTTGAAAGTACAGCAGTAGAAAAATATAAATTGCGGACCAAGTGCTTTGCAATAGACTCTAAAAAGGGCAGGAACAAGAGGATTTCAGATTCAGTCCTGCAAGCTGCGCTGCACCGTGACCCCAACCCATAATACAGAAAGCACTTGAGGCTGCAAAGGGTCCTAAGCCGATGAATGGGGTAAAGTTAAGCATATGCTTAAGTGCTTTGGGCATTAGAGCCAGGCTGGAGCGTTTGGTTAATGGTGATTAAGCCATAAATCAATGAATCCAAACGAAGACAGGTCATATGTAAAGATAACCGGTAATCCCAAAAACCAACAACTGAAGCTGGCATTGTGCGCCAAGTGCTGCAAATGAGCTGGGGAGAGGGGCTTTTTCAGACCAAGCCCCCGCACCAGCACCCCAAAGCTAGGAGTGGAGAACTTGCGGCAGATTCAATTACAGATTTCCCTGCTTAATCACTCTGCAATTAGTACCTTGAGCCGGCGGTCTCTACTCCGGAGTCACTGAGGCTATTCCCAAGAGGGAAAAGCAAAGGAGGAGGCCACATCCCGCTCCCGGAGGGAGGAGAGGACTGCCAACACAACCTGGGAAGTCCCACTCCTCTTCCAGGAATAACTTTTACGGGCTTAAAAATAAAACACCCACTATCGGGATGTAAAATACTTAGAAACAGCTAAGTTGGCTTTACCAAAACTGATTTTACTCAGTGAGAAACTTCGGCTTTTAAGCATGAAAAGCTTTCCCCAACTCAAGTCGCTACTTAAAAATATGAAAGCAGTTTTCTTTGCATTTATTATGCAATTAGCGTGAGGGGGGCGAGCTCTGGGAAGACGCGCTTCAGGCACGTCAAACAAGGAATCGTGGAAGAAACAAAGAAGGGAAGATATCACAATCAAACAAGATTAGTTCTTTTAATATATGAAAGTTATTCCAGATAAAATAATTTTAATTGCTGACTTAACTGTCTGGTAGATTTAAGTATGCAGAAGACCATTTTATAACTGACCAAAAAAATGCAGAGAAGCACCACCACAAGGGTGGACACTGGTTACATTACCTCTTTGTCAATGGTTTTGTATCCACACATAGTGTTGATAATGGCTGTCTGAAAAGAAAACACCAAATGTAAACCATAGCAGAAAACAAAAAATCACAAAAAAATTATTTTTACTCTTTTTGTGTTCACCCAGCTCATATAAAAGCAGTAACAGGTTTACTTCCCAGTCCAACACCGGTTTCTTCCAGCAGCCCCAGGGTCAGATTTAGATAGAGCTCTACATGATTTTAGAGAAATCAGTATTGCCAGTGTGTCACGACACGAGACATTTGAACCATATCTATCCAGCAAAACCAGCGTGGCGTCAGAAACCAAAGCTAGCTACCTCAGAGCTGTACGCCACAGCTGTTTCCGCAGAACAAACCGCTGGTTTTAATTTTAAGGCCTTAATAACTTAACACATCTTATTAAGAAAACCAGGGGTTAACACGGCCATCACGCCGCCACGATGACAAATTTAAGCTCAGAAATATCTAATCCCCAAATAACATCCGATACTATGAACGCTTACATGAACATTTTAAAAGACCAAATTTATTGTAATGTATTTTTACATATCATTACATATATGAATATAAAATCCATATATTTAAAAAAAGACCAAGTGCTTGCATTCATCACAGATTACTAACGCATTTTCTGTAGCCATTTCATATTTTGCTTGCGTCCCGAAGCTCTACCTGGCCTGGCAAAGCTAACATGAAAATACTGTCCTTCACTTACAAATCAGCCAACGTAAAGCCCACCGGCATCAAAGGAAGCAATGTGCAAACCCAAAGACATGGGGGAAAACGAGAATGCACAAATGAGGGAAATAAGGCAGAGCAAACTCTACTGTATCGGTATGCCCTCCCTCAAAATTAAAAGATGTAGAGATGAGACTTCTAAATGCTGGTGGCCTCTGAGGGGTAGGCTGGGTTCGAGGGTCACCTCCCCAGGAAGGAAGAGGGACGTTTGAAAAAGATGGAAGGACGCTGGATGTTACAAAATGGCGGAAACACCAACCAGGGTCAAGTTTATTAAGATCCCAAAAAGCCAGGCTCTCACCTTGAGCACACAACTGTCTGACAAGCAAGGTTCAGTGCGTTCCTTAAAAAAACAAAAAAGCTCCGACTATTTCACAGGTCTGTTGCAAAAACGTGAGGAGTACCCATCTGTCACCCACGGGTAATAAATGCTCTTGGAAGTCCAGGTTTGCAATACTAGGCGTCAGCGTGTTGCTGTGTCTGCTGTGAGCGATTTCACGTTTACAAAATGCTTAAGCCTAGCAGACAAACACGTGGACATCCGCAAAATACGTGAGAAGAAGAACACAGTCACATCGTTTAATTTTAAACACAGCATTTGCTACCAGGGCATCACGGCACATGAAAACGTACACAACGGAGATAAATGCATTAGAAGCAGAGATTTATAAGCATTTGGGGGCTAATTTTTTATCTGCTACACTAGTGTAAGTCTTTAATAAATACTTTGACTTGAAAATAGTCGCTTCAGAGCCCCCCCGGTATGAGCCTGGCTCGTCTTAGCACAGGGCTTTTTAAGAGGACCAGAATCCAACCTCTGACATTAACGGCAGTTTTCCATGACTACAAAGCGAATGAGTAATCACAAACCATATCTGTAGTTTTCCAGGACAGAAACCAGCCTGTATTTGGAAGCATTTGTCAAACATAGAAGATTTATGCATCTTCTGGTTGGGGTTTTTTTTTTTTTTTTTCCTCCCCTTCTCAAGGCAGCCGGCCATACAGCCACGGCGTTAGTGTCATCCTGCCCAACAACGCCCGCGCCGCTCGGACTTCACATGGCACAGCGATGGCACAGCGATGGCATCCCGCAGCGCCTTGCTGAACAGCCTACCCTTAAATAAGAAGTTTGCTTGTTATTTTGGGGGCTTCTCCCCACCTTTCAATTAACTTCACTGAACTTAACACTTCACAGGCTACCTTTAGGCTGCAAGTAGTCTCATCCCCACCTCCCCAGTTGCCAGTGAAGCATATGGAGAATATACCTCCCTGTTTTCCTCGGAGAAGTTCTTATTTTAGTGCTTTCCTGCCTGACAGGTTGCATTTGAAATCCTCAGCGTGTTTGATAATTTGTGCCACAGCTGAAAAGGCACCCAGCATTATTGGTCACTGGTTAGCGCAGTCCTTCGCCTTCACACTACTACTGTATTTCCCACACACGGACTAACCTTTTAAAACAAGGCTTCGGCGGAGAAATGAGAGAGACAGAAAAACAAGCGGTATTTTGACTGACCCATAAAAAGCCAGATTGCTCTTTACTAGCCAGCTCTATCCAGCAAAATCCTGAGCTCTTCTGCTCTGTGCTGCTGCGGATCAGCACATCTTATTTTCATATACACGACGTTCTTATTCCCAAACACCTAAGACTTAAAACATAACTGTTTAGGCTTTGGTTTCTGAGAATAAATCAAAGCTCAGCGCAGCTTTAAATAGACTTCTCCTCACACACAAAAAATGTGTAAGCATACCTAATAAACACCTTCATATTATACACATTTCCCAGCAACACCCAGCAGGAGTACTACCACAATTACTGGGTTTTTTTCCTTTTTTTTTTTTTAATTAAACACCCATCCTTAAGGCAGACTGTGAAAGGGCAGCACGTAACAGGCACCAGTAGGCTATCCATCACGAGCTCTACCGCTCTCACAGATACTCGATTTCTCTGTCTCGTGTTCAGACCAAAGACCAAAACCCAGTGAGGCAAGCATTGCCCGCACCGGTTTTAAATTGAGGACTAGTTCTTCATCAAATTCAGCATTACATTCATCCCTCAAATGAAGAGCGACGAATTAAAACGGCTAAAATTTATATAAAACACGGGGTCTGCACAAAATCATTTGTATGGAACTTAACGCCTGCTCCTAGTGCTGCCAGCACCAGTTAATACCAGCTCATCGTAGACTGAGAAACTGGTCCAGACTCCAGCTGACAGGGTGTCCTTCCAGGGAGGATTTTACTGGGCGGCAGTTTCCAAGGATGGGTCAGGGCAGAGCAGCAGCTCCAGTCTAGACCCGCACCCACAAGGATGCCCTGACCCTGAGGTCAGTTGCCCATGTTTCTGGATTTTTCTGGATGACGGGGTCGTTCTGTTTGGTTTTTAATTCATCCAGCAGCTCGTGCGCATCACTCCAACCCCCACCCACAGAAGCAATCGGGGCCCAGGCTTCCTGGCAAAGCCAGAGCAGCAAACCCTGGGGAAAACACCAGCGAGACTTCATTTTAAGCAGCCCTGGCCCAGGCAAGCCATGAGGTTAGAGGAGCCCCCAAGATCCCTTCTGCATTTCTAGGACCGTGTAGTGGGACGGTAACATGGACCGGAGCCAATACACCTAATTTCATTATTTTCTCCTTTTCAAGCTGTCAAGAGCCACGGATTCCATTTTCAGGAGGGACCCATTTTCCTTCACTTCTTCCCCCCGGACTTTCTGAAGTAAGGTACCTTTTTAAGCAAACGCCCCGGCAGGGCGCAGCGATGCCCAGATGCCGGGACTTACCTTATTTGTGATGCAGCAAGTGTAGGGCACCCCGCAGGCCAGCGGTCCCGGCGCCGCGCAGCTGTGGTACACGTTTTGTGACCAATCCCTATAGTCTTCCCCACCGCAGCACTTAAACTGGAAAAAATGACACAAAAGGCAAAGGAAAAAAAAAATTCGTACCTTAACAGAAACTCTTCTAATAACTAGAAAACAAAGTAATAACAAAGCAATTTTAAGAGCACCGAACTACCCAGCAATTCTGTCATTTTATCAGCAAGGCATATAGGAATGTGTACGATAGACACAACTGAAAAGAACTGAAGGTACAGGTAGCATTCCTCTGTCACTCATCACGCTATTGCCCGAGGTGCCAGAGCAAAGTAAGTTCAACCTCCCAACTTTTCCCAGTTGAAAAACTATCTTTTCAGGTCTGGACATCATTAAGCAATGTTTTTACATTCACTCCATCTTGAGCTGTAAATCCAATTATTTAAGGATTTTGACTACATTTCTAAATTAGTCTAAAAGACAAAAGTGTTGCTATAAGGCATAAAAAACACATCTCACCAAAACATTTTGGGTGTCATTTAGTAGAACTGAGATCTGACAAACAAATACTGTAAGTTTACACTGACTTAATACAAATATTCACTTTATATTTTAAATGAAGGGAAAAGGAGCAGTTTCTTTAATCACTAAAATGTATATTCACTGTACATACACATAATTTTGGGCAGTCCATGGAAACTTTAAAGCATTATGAAGTCTAATGACAAAATTTCCTCAGGATGGTTGGCTTTTGACAGACTTTCCATGCTAACTCTGTTTTTCAAAGCAGGCTGCCATCTCCATAACGATGTCATAAAATATACATATCGCTTCCTAAGTTAACTTTTTTTTTTTAAAATCATTATTTGGCATGGTCACTGACATCACATAGGCCCTGACATCACATTTCTGAACGTTTTCTGCTTCTTCTATAGTCTCTGAACTGCATAATTCTTCAATAAGCCAATAAAAATTTCAACACACCAGCCTTAAAAAAAAAAAAAAAAAAGGCTGTGAGTCAACTACACATGCCATTAAGTAATGCTCAGCTGGGCTCAACACAATTTCTGAATTTTAATTACAGGTATATACGCTTCCACGGGCATTTCCTTTGAATAAACACCTTGTTAAAGAGCTTGGTCTGTGCCCTCAAGTGAAAATGCAACGGCCCAGGTTCCAACAGCCTAATTGCCACCTAATTTTTCTTTATCCGGTGCCTCCTGTTAACGAGATGCTTTTGCATGTCTTGGACCAGCCAGCAGAAAAGCTTAGCGTAAGAACTTGGGTGGAATTTAGGCTGAATTTGTCTGAATCCAGCTCATATAAGCCTAAATGTTTGCAGGATCTGGCCTTGAGCATCCGAATCACGCCTACCGAGGCAAAAGCTGCATTTTGCCCCCGATTCTTGCGGTGATTTAGGGGGCTTCCAATGCCAGCTGGGATGCTGGAGGAGCCCTGCCCGCAGCGACACCGTCACAGATGACACATGAGATCTCATCCCCCTCGTCAATAAGAATTTGATTATCACATCACCGGGAAAAACTCAAAGCTGTTGCCCAGGACCTACCACATCCAGGAAAAAAAAAAAAAACAAACAAACCTACGTGCTTCTGAACAGAATCCATGATGTTCTTGAAGTCTAAATCATCATAGTAATTCTCAATTCCTCTTCTAATATTATCGTTCAAAAAGTTGATTGTCTAGAAGGCAAAAGTAAAACAAGATTCACGGGTTACACACACCGAAACAAAATGAAAGGTTAAAGTGACAAGTGTAATTGATGAGCGCAAGAGGAAAAGTGGTTTGTTTTTTTTTTTTTTTAAATTAAAAACAAATACCAGTTAAAAATCAATCACAGCACAGTCCTGCAGGGACTGACCATCCCTCCTCTTTTAAGGCGGCAGCCTCGCTGCTGGGTTTGTGCTGAGAAGCCCGAACAGTGTGAGACCTCTCCAGCGCGGTGCTGCTTCCCTGGGGCTCTCCCAGCACCTCCCAGAGATGCTCCCGTTGTCCCCCAGGCAGGATCCCTCCCACTGGGCACCAGGGATCCCCATCACCTTTTGGGTGACAGAACGGCGGGTTTGGGTTTGCCACTTGGCACCGTGGTCTGCACCACGCCCCGGGCGACAAGAGCTGACTGTCTCCCTGCTCACCATCTTCCATGAATTTTATTTTCACCATTTTGTTTTCCAAGGAATCCATAACTGCCAGATAATGAGCTTTATTCCACCATAAGCAGAAAAAAAGTGTAAAAGATCTCATATCTGTATGTTTTACAGTCATGGTTTTGAGAAATATGGCAGTGGAGCGGTGGCAGATATAAAACCGTATCTCCTCAGCTTGGCATATTAGAAATCAAATCAACAAAACGCTTTTAAAGTTCAGAAGATGAGGCCAAAAAAAAGACTATTTCGTTTTCAACATCCAGCACCATCATAGCATAGCAAAAATTGAGAATAAACATAACCAGAATGTAACAACTTTCCTCTCAACCCAGCTGCTAAAATGACGGAAGTTAAATCCTTCCAGGTCAGAAAGGAACCCGAAATACTCCTGCTCATTTTCCTCGGTATTACAAACTGCAACACTTAAAAACAAAACAGAACAAAAACGATTGCACATCGATGATTAGAAATAACAGGGGATTTTGCAGGACTATCCTAACTGCCAAGAACAAACAGCAGCAAATACCGACTCCTCTCGCACTGCCTGGATCACCTCACTCAGACTCGACAGATTTGAGAAGGAAACAGGGAAAGAAGTGGCAAAAATCAATGAGACATGCAAAACAATCAGCATTTAAACAGAGGCTATTACCCTACGCTTTTATTAAATACTTCCTTCTCCTCCCCATACTAACCCCAACTTCTCCATTAACCTCGTAAAACAAGCGGAGAAACCCGTCCCTGAGCGTGGCCGTCCTGCCCAGACACCCCATACACATCTCGGGAAAACGCTTACTGCACAAAAACCCCAACGAGACATTTTCTTTGTCCGAAAGTCAACAGCAATTCTTCCTCGTCCTCTCAGCAAATACCATCTTTGGCATTTACTTAATTTTCTGTCAAGCAAATTCTCTGCATCCCGTGATGCCCACGCTCCCACACCGGGCAGGCTGATCTGCTCCCTTCGGATGGGCCTGGCGCTCCCACCACAAGTCAGGATAAATCCTTGTGCGGGGCCGAGGCGACACCGACGGCAACGGCTAACGACGGCTTCCAGAACTGAAGGTAACTCATCCTCTGCTCTCACAAGTCCAGTTCACGACTCTGGTCCAGCACGGAGTAAGAAGAAAACACTAGCTAGGGAGAATGTAATGCTACTTCAAAATAACAATGAGTTGTTATTTTTAAAAAAATCCTTTTTAAAGCTTTTTTTTTTTTTTTAAATAACATATGTAACATAGTATGTATGACTTCTTTTTGTGGAAATAAGATCGGTTGGATTGGGGTGGGGAGGGAAGAGGTCTTACTATTCAGCAGCTCCTTTTAATGCTCATATTTTGCCGGATTAGGGAAAAAAAAAAAATCAAAGCATAGTACTTGCCATAGTGAACATATTTATGTCTTAAAACATTTCTAACAGAAAAAAATAGTCTGCTGCTTTCTGTTTAGAAAAATTAAGGTTTTTATACAGTTATAGCATACTTGTAAATGATGGGGTCTCCTACAGAAATTAGTTATGTTGCTATGGATGTGGGCAGGGAAGAGCTGTCCTTTAGGTAAGGGAAAACATTTCGGCCCCTAAAAAATAACAAAGTCTCCAAATCCAGCTGGAAACCTCCCAGATCAGCAGTCTGAGAGCCAGATGGCAAATGAGAAGAAAGCACTTCGTAATACATGAAGAGCTGGAAACTCGTTTTGCCTGTATTGCACGTTCTTAGTTACCAGATTTTCTCCAAATTTTTTAATCTGGAATTCAACCCACCCATCCCCGAACCTGAAAGGCCCTGAAAAGCCTGGGCCTGCCTTCAGACCTCCACCAATTAGTGCTCAGGTGACAATTTTAACACCTTTTATTTGCTGTTAGTATAGCTGTTAACGTCACGGATTGTGAGTAATGTTCTTGGTGATCAAAACCTAAACGCAAGCGGCTCACCTGGTTTCTGAAGATCAGGGCCACCACCCCTCCGGTCAGCTCAATCAGCAAGCAGATACCAAGAATGTACATGAACTGCAGAAAAACAATTGCAAGTGAGTCCTTAAACAGATCAAACCCCAATTACTCTTTCAATTAGTGTCCTTAAGTCTGTAGCATTCAATTGCCAACATACTTGGCTTTCTGCATATGAGATGTCATTTTAAAGAAAGATACGAAATTACGGTTTTGTTCTTAATAAAACTGTTCACGCCACAAGAAAGCCTTTTTTCCTCACTTGAGTCATTCTGGGTTTTGCCCAATTGGCAAACACATTATTTTTCTGCTTTGAATGGACCAATAGATGCATTTATCATGCCAAGATACTTCTCTCCGTAACAGCATCCGAGAGAAGCATATTAATGGACTGCTACAAACCACACCGAATTTATGTTTTCATGCTTCCTTCAAAAACAGTACTTGCCTGTTAGCTTTCATTTCTCGGGTAAAGCAGTGCTTTAAGGTAATCCAAACCACCTTCTACTGAATTGCCAGTGTTAAATCAAAGCAAAATTCTGGGCTTGGTACCTTTTAGTGCGTTACTTCAGAAGAGGGAACTGAGCCGTGCTGCATTACCGAGCCAGCTGAGCGCAGAGGCTGCCCGATGGGCACTAACAGGGCTTACTATGCTCAGTGGTAAGAGAAATTATACCTGCTAGCTCTCAATTTATTTATTCATCTGCGTGTATATATATACGTGCTCCCTCACACATAACCACGACGCATGCATCTCTGACTACTTATCAAAGCGCATGCAAAATATGAATAATATGAAGAAAACCATAGCAACACTATGAGATAGCTGCGACGTGCCAGTACTTGAAATGTTTTTCCAACCCAAAGGATTGTTTATGTATAAAAGATGGCTGTCGGGTGAATTTACATCTGCTTTGTAACGGTGAACTTTGTCAGGAAAGAAGTTTTAGGATGTCTGAAAATAATGTCTAATGCTCCGCCCTAAAAGCCGGTTTAATTTCCGTGCTCTCAATACCCAGTATCAGGGTGACAAACTCACAGGACAGATACCTTTTCTCCTGCTAAATCTGGAATCAGCCTGAGAAGCAGACATCAGGGACTTTCTGTGTTTAAACATCCTACCGGGTGCGCTACCACAACGGGAACAGAAAACGTCCCCGCGTGAGAGGAGGACACACCACCACGCTCAGGGTGAAAGTGGACACTACCGCCTAAGGACAGACTCTCGGTAAAATTCCAGCCTGATTTCAAAATCCACGCTTACCTCTTGCTTCGGCCTACGTAACATACCACGTATTTACCGCTCCCTTACATTGACATGAAGGTGAAAATTATGTTTTTGCGCTTTACTTTTAATTAGTCGTATGTGCAACTTCCATCTGCAACCACAGCGTTGTACAGGAATTTCCCTAAAATTTCGCCTTTCAGAGGCACTGGAGAGAAAACCTGCGTCCCTTCCACTTCCCCCTCAGGGTCCTTCTCTCAAAGCTCACGTCGTGACATACATACACCCTGCTCCTCAGCCAAAGGCAGACAGACCCCAGCCACCGCCAGCCTGACGGACGTCAGCCCGACCCGGGGTTTCTCTCTCCAGCGGCTTCCTCCGGGTTAAAACGAGAAGCGTTTGGAGAACCATCAGAGACCGCAGCTCATCTCCGCGCTCAATGTCCCACCGAGCGGGCTGACAGCTTTGGGAAATGCCCCCGTACCCAGGGACGGGGGAAGCTGCAGCCAGACTTTGCCTTTCCCTTCGGCCGAGGGGCAGCACCATCTCCCCTTCTCCAGGAATTCACATTCCTGGTTGCTTTCCATACAGCCCTTAACTATCGGAATGCTGGTTTTCTCGGCGCCGGGCTCTGACCCGCGCCTCTCCTGTCACTGGCAAGACGAAATACTGCTGCTCCCTGACGGAAGGGCCACGGTTAGGGGACCACTGCCATAAAGCAGTTTCAGATTTAATTAGAAATCAAAAGAGCCACTTCATTAAAATATTTTTCAATGCAGACATAGTTACGGGTTTGAATTCAGGTGACACTGAAAAGCAAAAGCAACGAGCCTTAGAAATTAAGAATAAAAAACCTAACACTTACTGCTTGAAGAAGGCATAAATTATCTCTTAAAGAAGCCAGTACACCCACAAAAGATACGAGGAACATTATAATGCCCAAAAGTATTAAAATAATTGCTGGGGCTAGAAAGGCACTTTCTAGAGTTTTGTACTTCTGTCTTTCAACTTCTGCATAAATCCCAACCGCGAGGACAAGGGCTCCGATCACCTGAAACAGAAAAAGAGAGGAGCACAGATGTTTCTCTTTCTCCCAGCAAACACAGAGATGACATTTTGTGAGTACACATGAACCTGTGACTACTCACTGCAGAATTAATTATAAACAATGAAACACTCAAATCAGAAGTATGGATAAACAAAACACCTCAAAGGCGAGAGGAGAAAAAAGCCGAGTTAGAAAGAAAATGAGATGTGTTCATTTCAAAAATATATTTAGCAATGTTTTGACATTCTGGAATTAAACAAATTGAAACATACGTCACTGGTTGAAATTTATTACTCATCTGAGATCACATACATTACATAAACTAGCAAATGCCATGGCATTAATATTCCTCCTCTGCGTGTCTGTCCGTCCTTCCCTCTCTGTGTGTACATATGTATGTATATACGCCCCTAACACAACACAATTTCTAAACCAGTCTGCGCTCAATAGCTTATATGTCCCTTCCTACCAGCTCCTACTGTATTTAGGCTCAGTAAATACGGCCAGGTGTACCCGACACCTCCACTCCTCCTGCCATCAGGGGAAATGCACCAGATTTAAAAAAAAAACCACACCAAAAACCTGCAAATTTGAAGTTACGCCAATTTCTTGAGCACTACCAGATAAAGCTGACAAGCGAAGCAAGAAGTGATGCATTTCATTTAGCAAGGTAAAGATATTTCAATCAAAAGAACTACGGCTAAGTCAAAATCATTTGGTATTAAACCGACGGCGTGCTGCAAGTTGCTTTGAATTATGCTGAATTGGAAAAAAAAAAAATAGCCCACAACACTTAATCATGAAAATTGCAGTGGAAAAACTTTACTGCCAACTCCAACAGCCAGGCACATCCTCAGGGAAGAGGCCAGATTCAAATCAATCATTTCGGCAATCTGATAGACAGCATTCCCCTTTCCTGACCCGATGTTTCGGCAGTAACCCCGAGTCCGCGCCCTGCACACCAACGGCGGGGAGAGCACGTTTTTCTTATATACACACGAAGCTTTTTGATCTCACATGGTATATCCCAGACAAAGGTCTAGTCGGACACACCACATACTTAGTTGCAAGATTGTGAGCCCAACAGTTGAAATATTTTTTTAATTATGGGATATCTTAAAATAAATAACAACTTACCAGAAATTCTTGATTTTCTACAGCTAAAAATAAAAAACCCAAAGGACATTACGTGAGGAATGCCACTTAGTTATCATTTAAAAAATAAAAATAAAAATAAATATACCGAAGCTATTTAAAAGGCAATTTAAAATTTTACATGACCAAAATCAGAGTAACTCGCCCTCTGACAAATTCAGAAATTGTACTGATTATGGAAGGCAGAAGAGAATAACAAGTACCCAAATCTACCATTTATATGCTTCTACTGAAAAACTGTAATTAACTTTTTTTATTAATAAATGGTCAATTTGTAGCATTAGCTTTATTCTTTAAAAAAATCAGTTACTTGAGTAATAAAGTATAAATTACTTCTCAAGCAGAAGACAACATAAACAAATCAGTTTGAAATTTTTAAACGCAGATATAACAATGGAGGAAAAGAGTCTCAGAACCATACAAAACAATTACAAAATGTAAAATTGGTGACTGTACCTGTACATGTGATTCAGGAGTTCTAGTATTATTACTATTTTTAAAAAATAAAATTAAAAAAAAAACAAAACACACTAAAAACCTGATACCTTTGTGTCCGGACCGCATTTACCCTGCTCGGCAAGCAGCAGATAATACAACTCAAAGACAGACTATCCTGCAAACACAGCAGCGTTAGCAAGCTCAACATTTGCCTGGTAGATTCTTTGTTTAGAAAATCGGAAAAAAAAAAACCAAACCCAAACATTGGACATAAAACACAGGGATTAATGCTTGATGGGGTTTATCTGAATTTCAGAAGTGTGTTGCTTCAAGACTAGAACATTTACCGAAATTACTTTCTTAGCCACAGTTTTCTCATCAAAACATTCAATTTAAGGCGGTCTTTAGTTTTAAAGATTCGAAGGTGCCTGCGAGTAGAACCACAGGATGCATTCCCACTTTAAAAGCTTAAGATATATAGACACATATAGAGATATTTATATGCGGAGGTATCTTCATCCCCTTCCACCTGCATTTTGCTCACGCCCCCTCCAAGGCTACTGCTAGCATTTTCAGTGTACAAGAAACTTCAGTCCTGCCTTTGTTTTCCAAAACCAGCTTGGCCCCTGGTTCCCCAGATTTCCCCCCCCCAAAATTCCCTCCTATTACGGCTTTTCCTGCCCCAAGGACCAAGGTGGCCGACATCGTATCCCGGACAAATTATGGGATTAAAGCTGTCTCGTCACCCACGGGGGATAAACGGGGAGCTTCGCACCACGCCTCTGCTCTCTTCTAGATAGGCACCAAGCCGCCTGCTCCGGAAGGCTTCAGGATACCAGACATTAAAATGCTGACGCTCCCCGAGAAGAGGACTACATAATAACCCCTGTAATAAAACTCCCTCGAGCAATCCTAAATTAACAGTCCTGCGAACCGCGGCACGCAGAGGGCACGTGCCGCAGGGAGGCGGGAAGCCTTCACGCTGCCTGCCGCAGCACCGCTGCTACGCCAGGGGAAAAGCGTCACCTAACAAATAAAAAAACCCAGATTGACCCATCCCACAGCAGACGCACACACGCATTCCGAGTTTTACACAGGTTTTGCAGCACAAAAAACTATTACGGCGGAAGAAACCTCACCTAAGTACACAATTAAAATCCTCATTCCTTACAAGCAGGATTTATGCTTTTATTATCTTCTATTTTTTTAAGCATTTAATAAAAATCTTTTAAACCTTTAATATGGTCAAACCAATAGCAGCAATTATTTACGCCAAGCCGACGTGCTAACTTAGCAATCATCCCACCCGTGCTCTCCCTTCCTGTGACCAGGGCTGGAAACGCAACTTTTACGTAAGTAGCCCACAAATATACGTACTGTTTACATCCTGCACCCTTCACAACAGCTCCCAGTTTGGCAATTCACACTGCGTCCCCAGGAAAAATTCACTAGCCTTGACTCGCATTAAGTGAGTATCGACCAGCAAATACCAGGGACTTTTTCTGGGGCTTTTGCATGCACAGAAGTTGTTTTCCAAAGAGAAAGGAAAAGCATTTATTTATAATTAGCGGTTTTAACCCTGTATTTACAATACTTATTCTTAAATAAAGTGCCCGCTCAACAACAGCACCTTCTGTTTAAAATGCTGGATGTTGTTTCAGCCAGACGAGAAAAATTTACGTTACAGCCTCATTCACCAGCAAAACAGTTGCCCGAAAAAGTCACAGTGAAGACTAGTTTTTAAAAAAGCCCCGGGTGACATGGGAAGATGCAGCAGCGACAGGGCCTGTAGCAAACATCCCCTCCGGCACTCCCAGCAACGCTTTCATTTCCTTTCCGCTTTTGGGTAAGGCTGATATTTAGTTCCTGGTGATTTTAAACAATCCTGGGGACTCAAATCCGAGTGTTCATCACTCACAAATGTACCGGAGGAACGGCAACAGCAGGGAGGAAACCGAATGGCCTCAGCATCCCGTATGCCAGAGCCCCAAAAAGCAGCAAAAGAACACAAATCACCCAAAATTTAAGCAAGCCAATACTCCACAGACAACTTTACTCCCATTTACACCAATTTTAAAAAAAAAAAAAAAAGTCAATAAGACTAACACAGCTGAAAAAAAAAAAAGCCCACTGATATTTACGGCTAATGAGATCTGCTTCCCTAAGCTGGAATAAAAGAAAATTTCGAGAGCGAAACCCAGGCGCCCTGCCTCACACAATACGGCGTGTGTTCGGCCCCCACGCCGGGAGCACGCTGCCCAGCGCCAGCAAACGCCCTCAGCCCCCAGCCTCCC